ACTATTACTAGGTTACCTCCTCCCTCCTACACCTCCTCCTCCACCTCCTCCTCCTACACCTCCTCCCTCCTACACCTCCTCCTCCTACACCTCCTCCCTCCTACACCTCCTCCCTCCTACACCTCCTCCTCCTACACCTCCTCCTACACCTCCTCCCTCCTACACCTCCTCGTTCTACACCTCCTCCTCCTACACCTCCTCCCTCCTACACCTCCCTCCTACACCTCCTCGTTCTACACCTCCTCCTCCTACACCTCCTCCTCCTACACCTCCTCCCTCCTACACCTCGTTCTACACCTCCTCCCTCCTACACCTCCTCCCTCCTACACCTCCTCCCTCCTACACCTCCTCCTCCTACACCTCCTCCCTCCTACACCTCCTCCCTCCTACACCTCCTCCCTCCTCAGGCTCAGTCTGGTTCCACTGTTGCTGCAGTGGAATGTTGTCGGCGTCTGGGTCGTGGTGAACTGAGTGACAGAGAAAGAATGTTTGTCGTTAGGAAACATCTGGTTTCCTTTAGTTCTGTGATCGCTTCCAATTTAGGGCTCTTGGCCGAGGAGTTAGAAGACCGCTGTTTATGATGTCACACACTGGTTATGATGTCACACACTGGTTATGATGTCACACACTGGTTATGATGTCACACACTGGTTATGATGTCACACACTGGTTATGATGTCACACACTGCCGCATACTGACAGCAGTCATATTGACTCCTGTGGAACCACACAGCTGCTGTGTGATAGCAGTCATATTGACTCCTGTGGAACTACACAGCTGCTGTGTGATAGCAGTCATATTGACTCCTGTGGAACTACACAGCTGCTGTGTGATAGCAGTCATATTGACTCCTGTGGAACTACACAGCTGCTGTGTGATAGCAGTCATATTGACTCCTGTGGAACCACACAGCTGCTGTGTGATAGCAGTCATATTGACTCCTGTGGAACCACACAGCTGCTGTGTGATAGCAGTCATATTGACTCCTGTGGAACCACACAGCTGCTGTGTGATAGCAGTCATATTGACTCCTGTGGAACCACACAGCTGCTGTGTGATAGCAGTCATATTGACTCGTGTGTGACCGGCCTAAGTCAGTAAAATGACGTAGGCGATGATGCGTCCTGTGGCTAACAGCTAACGGCTAACGGCTGTGGAGTAAACAAATGTTCCCTAACAACAGTTCAAATATTTGAGGATCATCATGACCTCAAACTGGTCAAACTGAGGTCAAAGGTCAGGGATCACATTCTTTCTAACCAGAGACCAGAGTGTCTGTGTTGTGGGAACGCTTCAGAAAACCAATGGCCAGTCAAAAAAAACAGTTTCTCCAATTTATTTCCCACGTGCTATGTATAATAAACAGGTGAAAAGTCATATATATATATATATATATATATATATATATATATATACAGTGCCTTGCGAAAGTATTCGGCCCCCTTGAACCTTTCAACATTTCGCCACATTTCAGGCTTCAAACATAAAGATATACAATTTTAATTTTTGGTCATGAATCAACAACAAGTGGGACACAATCGTGAAGTGGAACAAAATGTATGGGATAATTTAAACTTTAACAAATAAAAAACTGAAAAGTGGGGCGTGCAATATTATTCGGCCCCTTTACTTTCAGTGCAGCAAACTCAGTCCAGAAGTTCAGTGAGGATCTTTGAATGATCCAATGTTGTCCTAAATGACTGATGATGATAAATAGAATGCACCTGTGTGTAATCAAGTCTCCGTATAAATGCACCTGCTCTTTGATAGTCTCAGGGTTCTGTTTAAAGCGCAGAGAGAACCATGAAGACAAAGGAACACACCAGGCAGGTCCGAGATACTGTTGTGGAGAAGTTTAAAGCCGGATTTGGATACAAAAAGATTTCCCAAGCTTTAAACATCTCAAGGAGCACTGTGCAAGCAATTATATTGAAATGGAAGGAGTATCAGACCACTGCAAATCTACCAAGACCCGGCCGTCCCTCCAAACTTTCATCTCAAACAAGGAGAAGACTGATCAGAGATGCAGCCAAGAGGCCCATGATCACTCTGGATGAACTGCAGATAACTACAGCTGAGGTGGGAGAGTCTGTCCATAGGACAACAATCAGTCGTGCACTGCACAAATCTGGCCTTTATGGAAGAGTGGCAAGAAGAAAGCCATTTCTCAAAGATATCCATAAAAAGTCTGGTTTAAAGTTTGCCACAAGCCACCTGGGAGACACACCAAACATGTGGAAGAAGGTGCTCTGGTCAGATGAAACCAAAATCAAACTTTTTGGCCACAATGCAAAACGATATGTTTGGCGTAAAAGCAACACAGCTCATCACCCTGAACACACCATCCCCACTGTCAAACATGGTGGTGGCAGCATCATGCTTTGGGCCTGCTTTTCTTCAGCAGGGACAGGGAAGATGGCTAAAATTGATGGGAAGATGGATGGAGCCAAATACAGGACCATTCTGGAAGAAAACCTGTTGGAGTCTGCAAAAGACCTGAGACTGGGACGGAGATTTATCTTCCAACAGGACAATGATCCAAAACATAAAGCCAAATCTACAATGGAATGGTTCACAAATAGACGTATCCAGGTGTTAGAATGGCCAAGTCAAAGTCCAGACCTGAATCCAATCCAGAATCTGTGGAAAGAGCTGAAGACTGCTGTTCACAAACGCTCTCCATCCAACCTCACTGAGCTCCAGCTGTTTTGCAAGGAAGAATGGGCAAGAATTCCAGTCTCTCGATGTGCAAAACTGATAGAGACATACCCCAAGCGACTTGCAGCTGTAATTGCAGCAAAAGGTGGCGCTACAAAGTATTAGCGCAAGGGGCCGAATAATATTGCACGCCCCACTTTTCAGTTTTTTATTTGTTAAAAAAGTTAAAATTATCCAATAAATGTCGTTCCACTTCACGATTGTGTCCCACTTGTTGTTGATTCTTGACAAAAAATTCAATTTTTATATCTTTATGTTTGAAGCCTGAAATGGGGAGAAATGTTGAAAGGTTCAAGGGGGCAAATACTTTCGCAAGGCACTGTTATATATATATATATATATATATATATATATATATATATATATATATATATATATAATATATATATATATATATATATATATATATAGATACCCAGCCTCTGCGTGCCAGGGGAGGCTGTTGTTGCCCTCTCTGCAACAGACACAAGCTGCGTTTCCATTGAGCATCAAATTTCGAAATTTGAATATGCGCATCTTAAAATGTCGAATGGAAACGCGCAAATTTAAAATTTATTAGTTTTTCAATGAAAAGTTTATGCGCTTAAAATTTGTGTTTTTTTTGGACGTATCGAAATTAAGTTTTCGCAAAACAGCAATGGAAACACTTATTTGGATATAGCGGAGGAAGCCGGGTGTGAGAGCCATAATGTGTGGGGTTGCTATGGTAACGTCATGGGGAGGTGCGTGAGTCACGTGAGCTCTGGGGATATGCCGGGAACTTTAAATATGGCAGACACCGGCGTTCAGGTGAGAAGTCGTAGGGATCTGGGTAGCCGTATTTCTTTGTTGACCGTTTGTTTTTGTTAAGTTTTGTACACGTACACGTATGGCCAATGTGTTATGTGTTAAATCTTCAAAGCTGATGATTAAATGCCACTTAAAGACGCAGTTACGAGTAGCGTTCTTCATCCACATTAGCAGCGCGTCATAAAGGTACAGGACCCGTTCCCCTCGTTCTCCAGCGACACAGGATAACAGTCGTTACATTAGTCAACAAAGAAAGGCATGTTTGAAATCCATCAATCGCAATACTGCACGCGGAATCAGGAAGACGCCAAGTAAGTGCAGCGCAGCGGGCGTTACCAATGAGCCATCAATCACTGCACAGGACACAGGAGGCAAGGTAAGCCACCCGTGGCAATTGGACGTGGATTCGGAATCCCTAATTCAATGTGTGTGGGAATAAAGGAACATAAAGATGAATTAATGGAATGGGATATCCCTGCGTAAAGTTGCTCCGCAGTATTGAAGCTTATGTAATGTATGCAATGCAATTTTAAGAAGGATGCGATGTTGTGATGGAATTTCAATAAAAGTGCTGTGTTGAATGGAAATGCTGTGTATGTTTACACTGAGGAGGCATTTAAATCAAAAGGAATAATGAGCAAAACAAATGGTGCACCTTCTTGCCCTGAAACCGAGTGTGAAAAGAGGGAACGCAGACTCACGGAAAAGGCTTTGTTAAATAAAGTTGAAAAGCTTCAACGCGAACGTAAAGTGTTTGTCAATAAAATGAAAGGTATGATACCAGAAATGAAGGAACTCATGAAACGGAAACAAAACGTGTCTCAAATAAAGGAGTCTCTCGGAGCACTCAATAAAATGTGTGATAATGCATCTGCTGCCCACAACGCTGTATTACCATTACTCCCAAGGGATGAAACAGTGAAACAAAAGGAATGGTTCTCAGGCATTAAGCAATACAGCGAATCATTTAAAGATTACACGGAAAAATGGATCAATGATATTGAACAAGGTGAGCCAGATGGTGTTCCTGAAAATGTATTATTGGGAGACGAGAGGGAACAATTTCCAAACTGTGATCTTCAGGAATTTGACGTAAAGCCTGCAGACAGCGCTTCAAATGCAGGCTCCCGCGGAGGCGCGCGCTCTCAGCGCTCGACCACTTCTGCGCGCTCACGGCGCTCCGTCACCTCCTCTGCATGTTTGAACGCGGAAGCAGAGTTGGCAGCGCTGACTACACGGCAACACTTATTGGAGGAAAGGCACGCATTAGAGGACGAGGAGGAACAACTGCGTAAAAGGAAGGAGAAGTTGCAGCTTGGAACTGAGATTGCAGAAAAAGTGGCCAAACTAAATATATTGAAATCAAGAAGCACAAATTCAAAGATTTCAAATGGAATGAATTCATACCTTGAAAAAGAGAAGAATAAATCATTTAATATCAACGCAAGAGAGTTCATTCCATCCACACAAAACCAAAGAGCACCAAGAAAGACTGAACAGTATGTCGTGAGAGATGCAATGGGAATCTCACAGTCCTCAAATCATAATGCGTTGCAACAATCAATCAATCCCACCATCATCACAAACAGCCATGAAATCAATAATAAAGATGAGGTTCTGGGCATCATGAAAAGGCAAAGTGAAATAACATCTCTGTTAATACAGCAACAAAGTCTTTCATCCTTACCAAAGCGAGAAATACCAACATTTGATGGTGATCCATTAAAGTATCACACTTTCATTAAAGCGTTTGAGAACGGAGTGGAAAGAAACACAAGTAACAACTCTGACCGTTTATACTTTATGGAACAACACACACATGGACATGCCAGAGAACTAGTAAGAAGCTGTCAACATCTGAACCCTGACTATGGATATGCAAAAGCAAAGGTTTTATTAAAGGAGCATTTTGGAAACGAGCAAAAGGTTGCCGCAGCTTATATGAACAGGGTCCTGTCATGGC